CGGAGGATACCTCTGAATCACCCAGCGGTAAATTCGTACAACTAGTCGAAAATGACGATCGAGAATTATTAACAACGAGCTGTCAGACAGATGTAAAGGATTTGGTATCAACAGGCTCCCAAACAGAACTTCTGAGAGAACTTGAGAGGTTGGAGAGGGAGCTTGGCGTTGCTGATAAAGGAACATGTACTGAGGAAGATATTTTTGAAAATGAGGAGCAGCGGCGACGGAAATCAGGGATCATAGAATCTCCATGTCCAGAAATAAGAACATTAGGAACAACACTTAAGTCTAGTGAAGAGACTCCTACTAAAATCACAATGGAGGATTCTAGTTCTAGCAAAGAAACTCTGTCGGTGGAGAAAGACAAGACAGCTACAAACTTATGGAGAAAGAAACTGTCTGTTGCGTTTAAAATCCCAGAAGAGTTTGATTATGAAAGTGCAACAAGCGCGGCGCTCGAAAACTCAGTCGGAAGTAATAATTTTGTGGATGGAGTGTCTCTACGCGTGAGGTAAGTTGACTCGTCTGGATCCCACGTATACCGAAATGAAGTATTTTTGTTCTTGACTTTTTCAAGTGAATAGATGAACGCTATCTATTACTTAGTTATCAAGTCAGAACACATTCCCATAACCTGACTTGTATTTATTGGTATTTTTGCGATGACACTCAGCGTGTTTTTTCTTTGTACTTTGTGTCACCAGGCCAGTCCTCAATGATAAGGAAATTGAGGTAAGTCACTCTCTTGATTATTAAATGGGATTTTAAAACCTCCTACTTTAGATGGTATCCAATGCCATGCAGTGGGTGCAAGGTATTTCATTTTCATTTAGGACTTAAAAACAACGGAACGAAGCAATGAAAATGCACCATTAGTTTGATTATTTCGTAGTTGCCTTTATGGTATTTATTTAATTAGTGGAAGTATGCTAACGTGACTCTTTGGTAATCAGAAACAGTTCAAGACTCTGGTGCTAGCTTTCCAAACAGATCAAGAGACCCTAAATAGACGACTGGAAGTTCAGGTAAATTTTTTTTTCTTGTCATAATGTATGGTATTTCATTCCTTTTTTTTAATGATAACTTTGCAGCAGACTACATGTAGTCTGCTTTTTTCTTCCCTCTTTTGGCATTCATTGGAGTTCATAAGCTTGGAGGGGTAGGGGGTTGGCGGAAGTGCGTGGGCAGGCTGAGGTGCGTGGGTGGGCGAAGGTGCGTGGGTGGGCGAAGGTGCGTGGGTGGAGGATTGAAAGGGAGAAATGTTGTCTCAGCAGATTTGGTTCACCAGTTATACTAAAGTACATTAGTAAAAGCCTGTTAATGTATCAATTCTTTCTTATGCATGTACAATACACAACCAGTGCTTTTATCTGCATAGGCGCGTGCCAGAGAAATCGCAGAATGCAACATGAACAAAGAGCTGCAGAGCATGTCCAACACACTCAAGGTAATAAAACCGCAATATGTTCTAATGGCTTCCTGTCTTTTATAACTTAAAAATTTTACCTTCTTTTTTAATATCCTTTGTTACAGTGTGTTATTTTCTCCTTCGATATCTTAACTTATTTTCTTGATATTTTAATAGCAAATTAATCGTATTCTTTGGTGCATGTGTCACTTTAACATGACCCTTGTTCTAACTTGAAATTGGTTTTTGTTTTGTTTACAACAGGAATTTGAGCAACTGTGTTTCACTAAGGATATGCAGGTATGATGGCTTTCATAATATGTTTTTTGTAACTGAATCTTAAGATCTGAGAGCCAATTCTTCGACCTGATGACCATACATTTATTAGTGGACCAAAGCTGAGAATTTGGTGCCATATCAAGACAGAGGCCTGTAGGTGATAACTTTCTTGGGTGGTATTACTTGTCTGTTTGAAAATGTTTCGAACGTGAAAGGAGAAAAAAGAAGTTGATCACTCCTTGAGGTAAAAACATACAAGTTATCCTGAACGGCCTCAATCGGTAACGTAAGCAGTGCTTGTAGGGTTCGGTCTAATTTTAACACCAGTTCAGGTGGTAGTACGGTGAAAGTAGGCAAATGGTAGATGCATGTTTATTCGGAGTGGAATTTATCAGATTTCATTTACCTAACCATGATTGGTCTCACAAGTTTGCATATATGCTCAGAATTTTTAGCAAATTCCTCAACAGGATATGTTGTCAGTTTTAAAGACGCACCTGGAGATAGTAAAGAAATCTTCGCAAAGGATGATTACTCAAACAGAACAACATGGCTGTGTCAAACAGGTCAGTGACGACGCACGGAAATTTGGTTATTCTTCCTCACCTTGTTACTGAAACCATGCTAGTGGCCTTCCACCATTTTGGTTGAATTCGTTTTGTAAGTCGTGGTCGCTTACCATTGGTAAGAACCATTCGTCCGTGTAAAAGCTCAATGTTCAATTTGGTGTCGAACGTTATCCGAAAGTGCTTTATTTTTTCTTTATTTGCTCTATTATTGGCCCAAAAAAACTCGCACCACTTTCAGAATTAGGGTAATTTAGTATTATCATGTGAATTAATAACGTAAATTGGCCACTGTAAAGAGTTTAAGAGCTGACGTTTTGAGCGTTAGCCCTTCGTTAGAGTGAATGACATTCGCATTGATCAACTCAGTTGATAATACTAAATTACCCTGTTATACTCTCGCACCGTCGCAACTGTACAGTTTCTTTAGAAACTTGCCTCCTTTTTTCATTTCCTTTTATCGGATTGGTTGTACTGATTACTCGATTTTGGTTGTACGACGCTGAATCGAAATACGCTTTGTTGTGCTTAAACGTTTTATGGTTGAACCTGGCTAAAGAAGGACACTGTGCTGATCGTATCAAACGAAGAGAGGATTAAGATCTCCTTTATCCTATTTGGAAGAAACGTAAACGAAATGATACGTAAAGTAGTTGATTTCCATACAATTTAGGTTTTTTGGGCTCTGATAGTAACAATCCCTTATTTTCTTTCGCGGTCAAAATGATACTTGGTTTCCAGTCACTTTTAGAGCAGAGTTTGCAATCGCTTTACAATTGAACACGCAGGAGGCTCGTATGTCATCTGGAGTGGAGGTAATGATATGTCATGCTGAGAACTTGACTCGTCATATGGAGCGAGTACGAGAGGACCTCAACGAACTACGTATGAAGGAACGGCTGGCTGCTGACGAAAGTGCGTCACCTGGAACTTTGGCAAATGGTCCTACACGACTTGGTAATAAATAATGGAGCTAGACCCTTAAACTGGTTTGCACTCACACTCAGATTCTGATTTCATAATTACGATCATGAAACTTTTAACTAGTTATTGCGTTGTTTACGACATGCACCACAAGACTTGAAGATTCAAAGACTCTGGTATCAATACAAATAGCTGCATGCTATGTATGAAACACTGTTATTTGTTCCTATTGTATTCACGAATTTATTGATTACTTCGTTGAAATGCCTTTTGTTAGTTGCATTACTCTGTTATTTGCATTTTTCTCTAGCACGTGTAAAAAAATTTCTGTTCAAATCCTTGTTCGCTTTCTATTCATTTATTGTGTTTATTCATGCTTCATTTCTCCATTTACTTTTTTTTCCTCGCTTGATTTTGAAGGTTTAGATTCCCAAAGGGTTGGCAGTCCTTCACCTCCACTTTCTCACCAAGTAAGAATTTTTCTAACCAAAATCTTTGCCTTAGTTTATATACGTTATTTTTGTTTTAACCACTGCCTTCTTTTTCTGCCTTTTTCTCTCGGTGAAGGTGATACAAATTGATGCGTTTATTGTTTTCGTTTGCTTGTGCTTCTCTATGTTGTGCTTAATACTTAACTCGATAATTTACTCATACTTGTGTTATTTTGTTGCTCTCTTACCATTGAATGATTTAAGTTAGCAATCTTTCTTTGTCCTCCCAACTGTCACATTCCTCAACAAAATTAAATATGATTGTTTCTCATAGTCTGAAGCAGGAGGCGATGGCACTAAACAGAACAGCCTTCTCAATTTTGTCATGGCTTTTCATACTACATCGATGCGAGCAAAAGAAGCCCTCCGAAGCTTCCGGCGTCGTACGGAGGCCAGCAGACAAGAACGGGAGGCTTCTGGAGCCTCCTTGCGCCAAACTGAAGAGCCGTCAGCGACGAAAATCGATTCGTCTCCGACAGAAAGTCTGCCAGAAACCGAATCCATTGGCACTCCGGCTGTGGTTGTGAGTGACTCGGAAGGAAAAAACGACAACATAAACGTGGAAGAAACCGAAGGGAGACAACATGAACATGAAGACGAGGTGGTTCCTGTCGATCACCCGGTAGAGTCTGAAGAGGATGACGAAATAAAAGACTCTAGTGAAAACGAAAGTGAAAGTGGCAGAATTGACTCAGAAGTCAATTCAGTGCATGAAACGTAAGTATAAACTCTTGTTTCTGCCTCGCTGTACAGTTCTTCAATGTGTTTCCCACTTATATTTATTTATAAATCTGTGGAGAGACTCTCCATGCGGTCTCCATACAGAGGGGGCAGGCACTCTTGAACGAGAATGGTTGGATCGTTGATAAATTAAATCAGGTCATGATCAAACAGTGAGGCTTCTGTTTGGATTATCAAAGTCGTGAATCATTCAAAGTTTTTCAGTTCTTGTATCGTAATTCTAGCTTCTTCAGGAATGATATCCATTGTTTTTAAATAGCCATGAATTAGGTTTTGAGTTTCAAAGCAAATCTTTAAGTTTCACTTGTCTATTTCATTTCCAGATCCAAAAGACCCAGTGTATCTTGGAGATTTTTATCAACTGCCTTCAGATTTACGACCTATGTCTTCATCTTCATGTTAATTATATTTATTGGAGTAACCATCTTCGTTAAAACGGATATCATTGTAATAGAGAGAGACTTTGTTATGTCAAGAATACGTAAACTTCTCCATCCCTTCATTGAAGTAGTTTATCATGAAATTCCTCCTCAATGAGCGTTTATCTTCCAGTTGTCTTCATTCATTTAATGAAATGAAAAAAAGAACCATTTTAATTATTATTTATTATAGTTTACTTAGTTGCGTTAGATATAAAGAACATTGGTTGTCAATGCGAAAAAGAATATATTGTTCGGATAATATCAGCAAAGCTGGGAATCATGCAAAGTTACTCAATGAGGTGTTGCAAAATACGGGACAATAGTAGGAAGATCAAGAAGGAAAACGGTCTTCTAAAGGATCTCTTGTGCGTTACAATTGTACGCTGTTCACTCAGCATTTTTGTAATGAAAGGTTACGCCACCAGTCACTCGTTCACATTTGATATAGAAATTAGTTTTTATGGTAATTTGCTTAAAGATTTCAATTATGTGATTCCGCCGAACTTATAGTTGACAGTCCACTGATACAAAGAGGAAAAACGTGCACAATAAATCGAAACCAATCACTCACTAAGAAAAGAAATACGTGATGTCAGACACGTTTCTGATACTTATTAAATTTGGGGTTTTACTCTGCAGCAGTAAGAATATTTTGGAGGCTGTCACATATTTTAGCCTGCCAATGACTTGGAAGTTGTAAGTCTGCGTGACTTTTGAAAAAAGATTTAGTTTTAGCTCGCCCCCAGAGAACATTGTTACATTCAATTTTCACCTACCATAAGACGTTGCGAGATACGTTTAAACACGTAAGCCATCTTCCATATCCTATAAAGGTAGTACAAGATTTTTCATTATTGTACTAATCACATCTGCTTCTCCGTTCCAATTCACCACTATTTGCGACATTTTGAATTAAAAAGAGATGAATTGAGGATTTGAAAAGTGTGCTTTGTTAACTGCAGATTCATTCTTCGTGAACACTTTGGAAAAAAGATGTGAAAACGATACTTTTGCGTCAAGGTCGCGCCACAATTTTCCGTGGACATCTTAAGACATTTTTTCAGTCCACAATATACAATGGTTACTAGGTGTAGAAACACTTAGAGGCTGGATCCAAAGTATCGTAAAACCAGACTTGAGCGTCTTAAAAAAAGTGAATGTTTTACCTCCACAATACTCAACACGGAAAACTGAGAAAGCCGTTACTTTCAGATTTATCGACTCACGGTACTGTTATTCGTTTCACATCCTACAACCTCGCGCTCTTACAAAACGTAAATGAGGTGTAAAATATGCGAAGCTTCACTTTAAGATTTGGGCAAATTTGATTGATTTGTTACATAAGGTCGTGTTGAATTTTCCTGCTTGCGGAAAACCAGAGGAATTTTAATGAGATACTTCGTTTCCAACATTTTGAAAAAATTGAATTTGGCAGGTTTGATGCATGGGCCTCTGTTGTCAGAATTGATAGCTAGAATTAAGTAGTTTTTAACAATGCCTTCTTATGTTAAGACGTCCATTTGCGAATCTCTGGGGGCGGGCTCTTCGTTTGGTTCACTGGCTTAACTGAACGGACTGACGCTGCTATTAGTCACCAGAATTTGTATGGTTGACTGATTAGAGTTGTCACATACTACTGAAAGAGTAATTTAGACAACAACAAAAAAAACCGCACACGATGCTAGAAGTAGTACTAAATGGAAAAAAAATTATTTCTGGAATTCTCCTAGTCTTTTCTTGAATTTGAATTTTAGTCAAAGATTTAGACGTAGCCATGAGTTGGTGTTTTACTAGTTGCAAGTAAACTTTACTGCGAAAAATTTTATTCTACTCCCGTCTACTATTCGCTTTTTAAGGCAGTCAGTTTCGAAGTCGCTTATAAGACCAGCCGAGTTGCATCGTCGGCACGTGAACATCCCGAGAGAATTACCAGACAATTCATCGTCAGTTGGAGTCAAAGCCTTTGCCACATTTGGTGCTAGACCGCTGTTTCTATTCTCGTCTAAAATATCTTGAACTCGACTTCTTCGGCATTCTCCGGTCAACACTGTGAAACGAATCAATGTTGCATCGCGTTCAGGACATCTGTGCTCTATGCAAGCTGCATATAAATTGCTGTTGACTCTCTCGGTTTGTTTAGTGGCTGTCCCATACAGTGTTCCCTCATCTTCAGAATAACTTTCTGCCGTTACCAAGGTACTCGTTGTCCCCGATGTCAAGATCTTTAAATAGCATCTCCTTCTATTGGATGCACGTCCAAATCGTCGTTGGAAAGGCGGCTGCGGGACGTACCCCTGGTTGAAAACTTGTGCGTCACCTTGGCTATGAAATGAGAAGTAACTCTGCCCACTACTCCAACAAGAGCTAGCTTGAGCTTTTTGGTACACAGGGCCGTTAAGTGGTCGCGCACCAGGATTAAAATTGATTCTTCGAGTATCTACGATGGAAGCACTCGTTTCGGGAGGGAGAGCACGCACTTCGTGCTCATGAGGTAGTAAAGGCTCTCCGTCTTCCTCCACCTCCATGTAACCATCGCTGTTGCACTGGGTTGAAATGCATAGGTAGCCATTTGAGGAGGTTGTCCTCCTTAAGTACCCTTGAATCGCTCGTCCACGAGGATTCACGAAAATACTGGTGACTTTCGCACTTCGTATTCCTGATCCATCTTGTTTGGTTGCTCTAACCTTTGCAAAACACCTGTCATAACTGTAATCGAGATTGTAAGCATTTTGAACATTCTCTGGGCTTATTGCTCCAGAAAATGCCCTGGACCGTAAGTTTCTCTTTCTGCGCTTGGCACTTTCGCTGTTTCGTTCAAGTTGGCCAGCGTCCACCCATCGACCAGTTTTCTGGTCCAGCCACCACAGATGTGGTAAGGGTGTAGATTCATTGAAGGTCTCTCCAGTTATTTGTTCTATGTCGATGTTAATATGAAGATCCTTGGTGAGGCCGAGGTTGTTGTTATTTTCGTCCTGTACCTTGATTTTGAAAAGGCCGTACGTTCTGAGTAACTGTTCTTCACCATCTTCGTCGACAGTAGTAAAATCACCTTGTGATTCTAGAATGTCTTGCTCACTTCTGGGATCGCTAAACTGAACTTTCACTTTCGCTTTGCCTTTTTGGGGGTTTCCATCCTTGTCAATTAAGCTATTGGCTGGTATAACAACTTCTGCCGCTGCATCTCCCACAAGAGGTACCACCTTCTCTTCTTCGGGATCAAATTCAATGGGTTTCGCTTCTAGGCGAAGATGAATTTTATGGAATGTTGTTGTGCTCTTTTGGAAAGGTAACGTAACTGTTGTTTCCTCGTACTCCTCCGTGTAATCTCGAAACGTTGCCACCAATCGCTTTGTAGTCTTTTTCACAGTCAGTTGAAAAGTTCCGTCGAAGTCGGAGAAGGTAACAACTGTATCGTTAACCAGAATGTCGCAATATTCCACCGGTGTTTCATCTGGTCCCCCTACCACAACTCCTGCAATATTCAAATAAAATGATAGTTATGTCAATTTGCTACCTGCACTGGTATTTTGTAACACGTTTCACTTCTCGAGATATTGCCAGTGTTGCATGCGTTAAGAAGAAGGAAAAGTGCTGGATTTAGTACATGATAATTAACAACTATTCATTAAATTGAAGGTGGCTAGTGGTGATATATACCGAGCTGTGACGCGGCGAAGCAGTTATCCTCTGTTAGCCACCGACACAGAGGTGAATAGTTGTTTTCGCTTATACTAAAACCCTGAGATTATAAAAAGATGATTTTAACTTTATTCTTGCAACAATTACTCGTTGGGTAGCAAAGGCTCTTCGGAGTTTTTGTTGCCAATTAGAACGGGCCTTGAATGTTAACTACTGTTTGGTATACGCTATTCAAAAATATATCAAACTAAAACTATTCAGAAAGCTAAACTGATGTACCATATTTCTTTTAACAAGCGCCCTCCACCGAACAAGCCCACCCACTAGGCCTAAATGTCAAACAAGCGCTCCTCTCGAATAAGCACCTCCTTCTTCTCCCTCACTCTCTTAAAATAGAGAATCAAGCAAAACCTAGAGAAAGATGACGAAAAAATATTTCTCTATTTCTTTACCGAGCTCAAAAGTTACTATCTTTTTAATTCTATTTACAAGGAAAACCTATTTGTATTGCCATATTATTTACAATTTTTTAAGTTTCAACTACAACGAAATCAGTACAGGATAATTGCTTATTTTCCGTCGAGTCACTTCCAGTTATTTCTGTCTCCAAGTTCGTGCAGAGTTCTTTTATGTACGTTCTGTTCTTTTAATTTTCGTCCTGTTGCTATGCTAACTTAACAAGTGCCCTTCTGATGAAGAGCCCTCCTTCCAGTAAACACCCTTCCTTTTAGACGGAATTTGAAATGGGTACCCGCGTGCTTGTACAAGAAAATAACTTAAGGTGCCTGGCCAGAATGGTCGTTAATATGGATTTTTTTCACAGTTGATGGAGCCATGTCGTGTGATCTACACCTCCTCCAATTTTTGACGGTGCAGTGAAAGTAACTTTTATTTGACTCTTACTTTCGAAAGCTAACCGTGGTTTACTTTTGATAAAAGCAATTTCGCATCACCACAGAATAGTTACGTTCTACTCAGGTAATTTTGCCCGCGAGCACGAAAATTCGACAGGTGTTTCCAGGTCATCGTGTCTAGTTTTGAAGAGACACATTTTGGTTGTCAGTGTGATATGCATGTCAAAACATTGAGGCAACTCGGTTGCAGCTTGATCACTATAATTATTTTTGCTATATAGATTGAGTCTTGAAAGCAGTAAAATATGTGTTAGGACCTTTTAAAAGAAAGGATTACTTTCAGAAACTCCAAATGACCTCTCTGGCACGCGTAGTTTATGGTTTTGTGAGATGGACTATAAGGATGCTGAAACTTGCGCAATACCTTTCACAATGGTATCTCCCTCTTTGCAAATGTCACATCTGCAGCTCGCAATGCGCTTTACTGTAAACTCTCCTTGACCACAGCGAACGGTGGTTTCACTCACAGCTCCAGCCTGGCAACAGCGTTCTTCTTCCTCACAGGACTGTTTGGGGGCCACATCAGCCCGTATACAAGGGCTATTATCGCACTTTCCGATGTTTACCTTGCTTTTACCTGTGAGATCTGTACATCCATCGGGAAGGTTTATGTAATGATCAGATGGTGTAGAGTTGCACGAGTTCAAAACTGGGTCTAATGTAAAAACAATCAACCTTTAAAATGTGAAACACTATCAAAGAAAATGACCCTAAGAACTGAATTGGAAATGACCTTTAAATTAGATTCCAACAAACGGCACATCGTTGTGAATATGAAAGCGATCTTCGTAGTAATGAACACTACTTGAGCAGTAGTAAAAATAAGGCCTGAAAAAAATTCAGGCCTGTACAGGATGTGAACCCATAACCTCTGCGATAGCGGTGCAGTGCTCTACAAACTGAGCAAACAAGCCAACTGGGAGCTGGTCATTATGTTGGTTCCAAATGAACCCATGAAGTGGTGTATAGACGACTGCGAATAGACAGATTACTGAAGTTGTGCATGCCAAGAAAGTTGTTATCAAGTTGAATCCTTAAGAAGAAGTGGCTCCACAAAATTCCCATTAAGCTAGTGTCAAAACTGAGTCGGTTGTGTTGGACAAATTTATTTTTTTCTGAGTATGATAACTTCAGTTTTGAAGAGTGTTAGTTTAGGGAACTTCACTTGCACATACTAAGTAACATTAACCGTTTTTAGGAAGTGATAACTTGGTCGAAATCTGAGTGGCGCTTAGATCCTGTAGAAACGCCTTATTGGGCAAAAAAAAAAAGAGAGAGAGATAAAAGCAGCGCCTGGAGCGAACTCGACAAAGCTAACATTAGTAATAACAATAATCCAAATGTAAAGCACACTTACCGAGAACAGTTAATGTCGCAGACTCAGAAAATTCTGCGCCGAATTGATTTACTGCACGGCATCTAAAATTTCCAGCCATGTTCTTTTCCACCTTTCGCAACAGTAACGTTTCTTTATTATTAAATTCGTCTGAGTCTAAGATGTTTTCATTTCGAAACCTACGAATCCAATAAAAATAAATAAATCGTGTATACCGAATAAATCAATTTTTAACTGTTTCGTAAAACCTCCTGTACTGTTTTGTCATTTCCAAAGGAAACTCACGTCTTAAATCAGTCGATTGGTATGTCACCTACTTAACGACATAGGCTTTGCGCGGATTTCAGTTCGTTCTAGCTATGATTTCAACTACATGTAGCTCTAATTTGTGAGAAGAAAAATTTATCAAAGATGCAAACTATTTGATGTTTCAAAAGCGAAATATTCTCCAAGTAGAGGCCAGGTGTGATGTCTGTTGAGGCGCACATAGGGGACCTCTTAATGTCCCAAAAGACCTAAAATCACAGCTAACGACAAAAGAGAAAATTTCTTATGAAGTGACCCGGCGTTGCATCCTTGTGGTTACCATTTGCAAATTTCTTAACCACAAAGCGCGTTTTTGCGAGTGCAGTGCTTACCATTCTATGACTGGAGGTGGATTTCCTTCCACCTGGCAACAAAATATGACATCTTGTCCAACAAAACGTCTTCTGTCTTCTGGGTGAGCTGTTACTGTCGGGTGAACTGATTGATAAAGTACGTCAAGATTAACAACATGAGGAGAAAATAATACGCTGGATTTCCTTCTTGGCACAAATGAAGCAATTTATATACACTCAGTCTAGTGTTTCGTTCAAGCAAGTAAATAAAATTTCAAAGATATTGTTTGCAAGGCCGAAGTGGAACCTTGGCTTAACGGCCCTATTTTAAGTTATCAGTCAAAATAACTGCCCAAGAGCTTAGATCTTCTGTTGCAAATTTACTGCTTAAGGTGTTCCTTAATTGTCTTTTTATTTCTGTCAAGCCAATATTCAATCATTATGACCATAAGAAATCCATAGATATTTCAGCAACGTGAATCTCCTTTGAATAACAAAAGAATTACCTGCGTTTTCCATCTTGAATTTAAAGGTGGATTTCGAGCCCGTTATGCGAAAAGTCTGGGGGACGTATCCACGCTTGATAATCAAAATGACTTTTTCTTTGTCGAAGCAGAATGCATTGACTTCGAAGAAGCCATTTTCTTGAGTGCGACTCAATATCTTATATGGAGACTCGGCAAGCGATACATTAGCTCCAGCCAGAGGTGCGTCACGTTTTGTTAATACTCGTCCCTTTAGAGTACCTTCTCTATCTAGTGGACACTTTCTTTTCCTTTTATCTGCAATATTCAATATTTTCGCAGTTATTTTTAACTATTTTCTATCAAAGGGAACTAGCTATTCATAGTGGTCCCCTAGGCCTGTAAGTAACGCAATTGGAAAAATGTGGTAATTCTGTAGAATCAATTATTTGTAAAGCTTGCGACTGGGCCGGCGACCAACATTTCAAAAAGTATGAAATCAATTAATAGTGAATGTATTAAAAATGCAAGGATGACTGGATGATGACCTTTAAATACGTCCAGAGTTAAAATGGTTTTGGTGTAAAGCTAACAACTGATTTTATACCTATTCACGAAAAAACAGGCAAGAACTTCTAGTCTTTGAAATGAATGACTTAGCTGGCTGAAAAAAATTGATCAAGGAATCTCATACCTGGGCACTTCCAGTCCGCGCATATGTCTTCCTGTCGAGGTTTCCCGGCACACCAGCCGTTTTTTAGAAGCTTTCCAGTGGCTTTGTTAGTACACACACGAGTTCGACTCTGTCGACCCTTTCCACAAGAACGCGAGCAATCAGTCCACGATGACCAGCGACTCCATTTACCATCTAAGAAGAAAAGACAACTTCTTGTGTCACAGACTACATGCTTAAAGGTACTTGATTTATGCTGCATTGGTAGAGGGAAAATGAGTGATATTCAGTTAAATATTTACAGAAATAAACTAAAATCAATGAAAATTTCTTCCAAGCCATTCGTGGTCTTGTTGGTCATAATGATAATAGTCTCCCACTCTCATTCCTCGTTCTCTTGGCAACAAATTGTGTTAGAATGTCAATAATACGAGGTTTACCTGGATACGTGGCTACTTTGGTCACACATCACATTTCCGGCGTTTTAATAAAATGAATAAAAAATGATAAATGCTACTCACCAGTATCAATGGACACCATCCAGTCTGTGAAGGTGACGTTGGTCAGTAAAAAAAAAAATTAGAGAAACAAAAACAGTTAAAAGACTTCGTGTAAACAAAACACTAAATTTACAAGACGAAGAACTTGTTACCACTAGTTTTTTCGAGTCTATCTAGAAAAAAACTTGTAACCACTAATTGTTTCGAGCATATTTTCTCTGGTTTTACTAATTATAATCTTCTTTATCAGTAAAATTTCTGTACCTGGACATTCTCCATTAACACACTTTCTTGTTTGATGATGGTTCCCAACACACCGCTCTCGTTGTAGTTTCTGTCCTGTACTGGGTAAAATACAGGTTCCTGTTCGTCTTTGCCGACCACCTCCACATGTGACTGAGCAGTCAGTCCAGGGAGACCAACGCCACTGGCCTGGACACACTCCATTGGAACAATTTCTTATTTGATAATCATTCCCAACACACCGCTCTCGTTGTAGTCTCTGTCCTGTACTGGGTAAAATACAGGTTCCTGTTCGTCTTTGCCGACCACCTCCACATGTGACTGAGCAGTCAGTCCAAGGAGACCAACGCCACTGGCCTGGACACACTTCATTGGAACAATTTCTTATTTGATAATCATTCCCAACACACCGCTCTCGTTGTAGTTTCTGTCCTGTGCTAGGTAAAATACAAGTGCCTGTTCGTCTTTGCCGACCACCTCCACATGTAACTGAGCAGTCAGTCCAGGTTGACCAACGCCACTGGCCTGGACACACTCCGTTGGAACAATATTTCATTTGATGATGTTTCCCAACACAAAGCTTTCGTCGTAGTCTCTGTCCTGTACTGGGTAAAATACAAGTGCCTGTTCGTCTTTGCCGACCACCTCCACATGTGACTGAGCAGTCAGTCCAGGGAGACCAACGCCACTCTCCTCCTGGTAAAAGTTCAATATCGCAAAAACAGAGTTGTAGACAGCAACACTCAATTTAATGAACTTTCAGGATCATTCACGATATATCTTACTAAATTCGTAAAAACTGTTTAAGGAAAATGGATAAATTTCCTCTAGTGTACGGAATAATCTAGTTCATAGTCGAATACGCACTTTTAAAGACGCGAATGGCTGAGATACTATTCTTTGGAACCTCAAAATAAGGGCAGTGTTATAATTTCATGGTAATGATAAGCTTGATTACATACGCTCCTTGTTAGTTTTACTTATGATCTATAGGGGGATAAATGCGAGGCATGACTTCGCCACATCAGTGAAACACTGTGCTGCGCCCCGTGTGTCACTTTTGTGTTCTTGACACATTTTGACGTGATCTGTGACGCATAACTTGAACAGGTGCATGGCAACGTGGAATCTGCATTTGTGGAAAATACTTAACAAATAGAGAAGCCTTGACTGTGCTCTGTTCTGTTATAAAGCACGCAGGAAGCGGCTAGAGCACGAAAGAAGTGTAGGGAGAAACACGAGACGTAGTCGAGTGTCTCTCCCCACTTCTTGAGTGCTCTAGCCGCTTCCTAAGTGCTTTATAACAGAACAATTAGTTAATTAGAAACTATTATTAATTAGAAACTAAAAAACTTCAGGCAAAAGTGTTAAATTCGACATGCCGAGCTATTTTAGTTTGTAAACTATTGCAGAATATGAACTTTGATGGTTTGACATTTTTGACAGCTTTAGTCTTGTACAGCCAATCAGATTATTTGAACCATTCTAACAGGAATTCTGATTGGCTTATTGTAGCGTGCTTTATGAGAGTATACTTGCCGGCTCGTTTCAGTTCCGAAATTTCACTTTCAATTATCGGGAAAAAGCTAAAAAGGAAATCCCGGAAAAGGTCGAACATAGTACAATTGGCAGATGGCGTGACAGCTTTAGCTCAGTTCTATGCTTTATACTCTCATAGAGCACGCTTTTTCAACCAGTGACAGCGCGCGTTATATCCGAACTTTATTATAATTAACAAATAGAGAAGCCTTGACTGTGCTCTGTTCTGTTAGAAGGCACACAGGAAGCGGCCTAGAGCACGAAAGAAGTGTAGGGAGAAACACGAGACGTAGTCGAGTGTCTCTCTTCACTTCTTGAGTGCTTTATAACAGAACAGAGCACGGTCAAGGCTTCTCTATTTGTTTTATAATAAAGAATCCATTAAATTTCCCGAGCATTACTTTCAATTTTCAAAACAAACTTTATTTCTAACGCGAACAACAGTTTTCAGTTTGGTTATATTTTTCATCATTTCTGTTTTGTTCTGTTTTGTCTTTGAACACTGAACTTTATATACTTTATGAGTGTTAGCTGTGTTTGATTTTAATTTCCGTACGTAAGCTTGCAATCTAACTGAGCGTTGTTTAATCTTTAAAACTCGGAATATCTATTTTGTTTTTCCTTTGAGGATTTTCGTATCTTCTCACGTTTTAATAACGTAAATTACGGCGCCTGGTATGTTTACAAACCTTTATTTGGTTCTTCTGTTGCTACTTGCCGGCTCGCTTGTTCCCAAATTTCACTTTCAATTATCGGAAAAAAGCTGAAAAGAAGCTCGGAAAAGGTCGAACATAGTACAATTTGGCCGATGGCGTGACAGCTTTAGCTCAGCTCTATGCTCTATACTCTCATAGAGCACGCTCTTTCAACCAATGACAGCGCGCGTTATATCCGAACTTTATTATAAACTCTCATAGAGCACGCTCTTTCAACCAATGACAGCGCTCGTTATATCTGAACTTTATTATAATGTTTTTTGGGGCATCTCATTGTTAATGATAGCTGCAGCATACTCAACAGCATAAAGTTGTTTAGGAGAACAACGTCAAGAGAGAGAATTGAAAGGAATATGTCCGATACCTTCGGTTTTGAAGCAAGTGTACCATTCTTGTCTGTTTATTCCTGGGATCCTGTCAGTATCACATGATCTAATGAGCCCTACAATGCATGCAGAGTTTAAAAATGTCCTCTCGTGGAAAATTCTTGATATTTCGTCCTCGGTGAGCAAACCGTTTTTATCTTTGTCCCAGTACCGGTCAAAATTACGCTGAAAAAAAAAATACCTGTGTTTTACTTTGCATTTACATTAACCTTATCTGTCAAGAGTGAAGCATTTATCTGATTTATCAATGGTAACGCCTTAGCATCTTTATAAACCTTGAATATTTAAAATAAAAAATAACAAACGTTTTGATCTACAACCTACATATAGTAAACAAAGGCCAAAATCTGTTAAGGAGAAATAATGTACTTAGATCTTCGGGTGAATTGCTAGAATACCACTGAAGGATACAGTTTTTAAACTGTAAGAGAACATGTAGTTATGGCAATTTAATTGAAAACGAAATTGAAACAGGAGGAGGCACAAACCTGTGGCGTTTACACATTTTGATGCCTTCCGAGAAGACAAGAGTAACCAGAAAAGCTCAAAAGACTCAATGACGAGGCGAACACATATGAAATTTGCCCTAATGGACAACACAAGTAATGAAGAGTGCTTTTGTTTATATTTCATTCATTTTCGAACGGTAAACAGTACTCAGTCTTATTATCCAACTGCATAAAGTAGAGAGCAAATAACGCACGAATAGAGTACAAATGACTTGCGATATTGTACATTTGGTTATTTTGTACTGTGAAAAAAAAAATGTTTAACCCGCCAGCGTGTGACGCACTGTCAATTTATCAGTTGCAGGATTGGCACAAGCCTCGGTTTATCCTTACCTTTGCAAGTAGGAGTCTTTCAACCACAGAAAATACCCTGCTTTCCTGGTATACTGGGAAAATTCTTTGCAACCACTTGTCTTGAAAATTTATTATTTGTGATTTGCGGCAAGCTGATGAAGCCTCTGGAAGATCAATAATTGGCACTTACGTTATTTAATATGAATATACTGTACCTGGGAGTCATGAACGAACAAACCCATTCACATGATTTCTTCTTTAAAAGTGTGCTGTTGATTTACTGAATGATACAAAGCTAACCTTGTCCTATGTTTGTGACGGTAATCGTGGATCTATTACCTTTAACCACCTTACGGATACAAAAGATTGGGAGTGAGGTTTATGGCTCATGATTAACCAAGATAACTACAATGTATACTTGTTCAAAATCACACTCTAAACGGCAGCATATCCGGCTTTCTCAGCTGTTTCAAGACCCCGTGTGTTGACACAGTTCATGGCTCGATCCCTCTACTCTGGTTGACAGTGTGGTGCTCTGCCCTTTGAGCTAGCTAACTAATATAGGTGTCTTAGGCAAGATACTTTATTATAAAAGTGAGATCAGAGAACTGAAAAATAGCCGACACACTGGAATTGGTAGCTTAGCTCCAAACTTCACCAGTTTTTCCTGATGTATTTATATCACGCTGAGAATATTAAGATCTTTTCAGGCTGGGGGATGCCATATGAAATGAGATAATTTAAAGCAAGGCTATAACAAAAACTTCACACTACATAAAAATCATCAAAATAGAGACAGAAAGCTATTTAACCTTTGTGTACCTTGTTCGCTGCAGTTCCCTTGATGCTTTACTTGAATATGCATTTCATTTGCACAGGCAAACTTATGTAACTCACAGATGTTTGGAAATTCCACATGATAAACGCTGCAAACAGGGCGATGTACATTTGAGCAGTTCACTGGACACGTACACTCTGCGGTGATCACTTCGCCGATCTTACTTTCAACACACATCTTTCCCTTTCTGCAGAAAGTCTGCGCACACGAACTCGCTAAAAATTAAAAAAATTTAAATCTCAAAGCGGGAAATCATCAACGAAGAACGAGATAACATTTAGTTCATCAACCAACGAAATAAAACGTGAAGCTTCAATTGTAACATTTTATCAGCCAGGGTTAGTCAACTCTCTGAGTGCTGTATGCAATCGGGCTAGAAAATGAGAATATGCAATTATAAAGATTCTCTTAATGTTCATTGTTCAGCGTTATTTGCGAAAATATGTTTTGTATAAGAGCAATCTATTCAATGTTTAAAGTAATGCAAGATCGCATCTGACGCTCTGACGAAGGCCGCTAACGTTCGAAACATCAGCTTTGAAATTCTTTACGGTGACTAATTTACGTAATTAACCCAGTTGATAAAACTAACTTATTCTTTTTTATACTTCCGCACCGAGGCAACACCACAATTTCTTAAAAAACTTACGCTTTTATTCAAGATTGCATTAGTTTAAGTTTACCACGTCTTGTGACTCCTTCATGTTAAGCTTTGCTCTGAATAGTTTTTGTGGTCATTATGTTTTTGTTTTCCGTTAACCTTTTATAGTAAGGGCTCATCGTGAACATTTCACTTAAATAATAGCTCTTGTAAGATAGCGCCTCACAGGACTTTATTTCTTTCTATGGCTCTGCAGGCTTGAAAAACATTCAGATATAACGTACATTATCCTGGTAAGACTTTGAAATTCTAACCTGTCCACTTAAAGTTCATTTGGCACTAATTCATCGGTTACTATTAACAGTGTACACAGACAAGAGCACGAAAAAGGTAGAGAAAATTCGTAAAAAAATAAGTACTGTTTGATCAAAATTCTTATAATTACGAAGACAACTAAATGAAAATCTGCCATTTATTCATTTACCATTTGTGGACCCATCGCCTCTGCTTTCTGATGCATGCAACACCTAAGGAGGAAAATGGAACACTTTTTAATAAACACTTATGTCATGTAATCTAATTACAGAGAGACGGCCCAAACATTTTGGATGCTCAAGCGTTACCGGAAGTCACGACCAAAGGGATCATCTTCAGTCACGATGAAAGGAAGTGATGCTATTTATTTACGTCTATGATCTGAACGTGACATTTCTGGATCCGTTTTGACTGAAATCAGCGAGACCGACTGATGTTTCAGACTTTCCAACTCAACGCACAGTCAAAGAGGAAGACACTACAAATATAACAACTGATGTCATGAATCACTATACTTAGACAAGTGCTGAAAGAAGATTCGCGTATACTTAAATCAGCGTATTTTCATTGCAAAATAAGCAGTTTTTTCGAAAGCGAACTACATCAGACATCTCCAGGTTACTCTCATTACCTTTGCTAGGAATTGTCAATGCATGTTTGTGTCAATACATCGTTAAAATGGATTAGGGACACAGACCTTTCTCATCTGAGGTTTGTAAATTTATATAATCTTCCAAGCCTACGGTTTCGTTATTTCTCGAGTTATCTATTTTTTTTTATTTGAAGGCCACTCACTTTATTCACTTTTACATGTCCAGGCATGCAATGATATCATAATAGAGTGTTTAATCAATTGTGGTTAGTATTATGGACTATAGCGGATATCTCACCAATGTCATACCCATGTACTGCCATTGATTACTCCTTGTATGTCATGTTTGTATTTGGTGGTTTAAATCCTTAGCGAAGTTATGAAATCTTTAATTGTTAATAGTCGAAAAGAAGTTAAATTTTCAAGATACCTTAGCATGGAATATAGTTGAAAAAAAGAAAAAAAGTCAAGTAGATACACAACGATAACTTTGGTCTTTCAACTATCCTCAGTATCTTTCATATAATGTTGAGAGCTTTTAACAATATCATTTGTACTTAGAGCGACAAGCTAAACAGCAAAAAAATATAGATCAGCTGTGATTAGGCTGACAGTCATTTTGTTCTGCCCTAGTCATGAGGTGCATTTACTTCGACAATATCACGAAAATGTCCCTTTGCCCTAGTTTAAGTCATAATTCAAGCTTGTCTGCGAAAAGGTTTAGAGTTTAGATAAAACATCTTTGCAAAATTGCTCGCCATACTCCATAATGAATGACGATCCCGCTATTCATTTAGAAAACCACTCGGGAAGAATCGGTACAAGCACAGCTTTAAAGGGTAAACTTATGTGACAGAGTTGCATGTTAGGATCACCGCCTCTGATGAGGTCTCTGTCAAAAATTAGGGGAATCGAACAGTCATCTCACTATGAATTCAATTTTTCCAATTAGTAACTCCGAAAAATTGAAAAAGCTGACAAAAAATTCGTGAAATCAGACCCTTTTACGATTTTCGTCAATATTCACTTCGGTCTTAAGCGGTCCTCATATATTTCAACGTTTTGATTATGGAGAGGTATCAACAATTTCATAGCCTAGCTTTCGCGAAGTTCCTTTGATGTTCGTAAAAGATGAAAGCAAAGTTTTTTTCTGTTACGGCATAACCAGTAATGGCAAAGAAGAGCCAACATCCGATTATGACAAACTCCCCTAGAGGTTCCTTCTACGCTAGCTTTTTTACTTGAATTTATCGTTGTTTTCTTTGGAAAACTGCTATTCGTTTTCAGTTTTCATTTAGAATTAAGAAACATAAAACAAGTTCTCATGACCAGGTAAACAAGGAAATGCACGTTCCCCACCACGTTGGTCTCTTAAAACATTTTTTAATCCCTTTCCAATAAGATCAACCTCACCCTTGAGGATTTTACAGCTCAATCTTTCCAAAATCTTAAGAAACGAGTTAACTCGCGCCATTTTTTCAGATGAAGGAAGAGATAAAATTCTATCAGCATCGGATGGTTAGCTGAAAAAAAATTTTGATGTGATAGCTTGTATCTAGAATCTCCATCTACCAGCAACATGTACCCTGTTGTACAAATTTTCTGCATAATGTCAAATGACTTGATCATGCACAAGACGCTTACTCCCACAAAAAAAAATTGAATTTATGATGACTCACCGCTGAAGCAAGTAGAGCTACAAGTCTCAAAAGCACTGCTCGCCTGGACACGGACATCTAGAGTTCTGTAGAATCCTTGCAGTAAAATGAAGTCCACTCTCTGTTACAATGTTTTAAAAAGGGTGCACTTTAGCTCAAGAAATATAAATTTATCAAGGCGTGTCTGCAGATCGATGAGGTATGCTTTTCGTTTCACGATTGGCTAAAACATGTTTAAAAATAGGTGGCTAGGTGGCCTGATATGTATTGGCGCGTACGGCTTTTTAACCCAACCTTTGTTCTACCTGCAGAAAATTTTGTTTATCAAGTCCGTTTGGAAAAGTTTCAAAATACCTGGATGATAATCCAGTTTACGTGAGAAGGCCCATAGAGTCACATGTTATTTGTCACCGATGCAAAGAGAGAATTAGCGCTTTTCCATTCTGGTGAACGACAATTGAAAGGGTGAAGGGTGTTTTTTTTTCGGCATTACTTTACTTTCATTGAAAATTCTGACCCAAGATGAAAAAAAAGTATAACAGGTTGAATGGTAAACGTCCTTATTAAGTAAAGTGGAAGCCTACATTACCTAAATTGGTAAGGAATTTGTTTATCTTCTTTAATTCCCCAAATCCAATAGTGAAAATCTCTCTTAAAAAATCAGATTATTCATGCAGCTTTCATCGGCTGGAAATAACATTTTCAGGTATAATGTAACAGATTGGGATTGTTCGCCCAGTTAATTTATTGCGTAACAACAACTTCATCCTGGAAATTACCGCCGGGGATTAAGTAAATACAGCATTTGCCAACATTTGCTCGTACTATTAAGAACAGCAAATTAAAGTGTTCACGGTGAAAATTTCACTATAGTACCTAACATTTTACATCGTTTCCGCTCATCAATGAGTAACTTATCGTTGGTTGATTTTTTAACGAACTCGTCCTCTCGTGGGTGATTTCGTCTGTGATTCGTGTGTGATTCCTGCATGTTTTGCTTTTCACTGGTTAGTGTTAGTGGTACCGTTTCATGTCAAACTTTTTCATGTCTGAGGTAAAAAACTGCCATAAAGGAACTCATAATTCAGGGAAGTCAAGTCGAGAAAAGAAAAGCGCCATGCTAACTTAAGAGTCCTTAAACCATTCTTACCGGCAAGGCTCAAAGTTGTTAACTTATTCATCTGTTAAATGACTTTGATATGATTTCTTTCCACAGTGAAACTGCAGGGATAAATGAAGGCAGTAACACAGGTAACATTTGGTTTATAGTGGCTGAAAATATCAAATAAGGATTTAGATCAACCTGTGGCATGGGACAGAGAGTTATCCGTGAAGAGAAAACAAGCCTTCTCAAGTTTGTCCCACGAGAATCAGCACATATTGATATAAATTGAAAAAATATATAGATAAAATAAATAGTAGAGGTGGTATTAAACGAGATTTATTTCGAAAATTTAAAGGTTATTCGTGAGGAAAGCTACAGACCTCTCGTAAAATACAAAAGATAGCTCAGGGATCTTCCATTTGGGAAATGTCTCTGGTCGCATGAAGTCTTTCATTCTTTCAATATCCGTTACGGTCGTTACTGAGTAACTTTTATACCTGGTAATACACGTTTAAGTTAAAGTTGAGGTACAAGAAATTTTCAATTCATCATCTTTACTCTGTGACTTTCTAAGTTCTCTTCATAAACAGCAGCTAACTTCTTTTTTCCCCTTATTACTTTATGTAGCAAGTAAAGTGAATTATTCAATTGAAGATCTTTTCCAGTTAAAAAATCTGTCCATTTTTTCCTTTTCATGTAGTTGTAGTAAAAGAAAACCTAGAAAGGTTCCTGCAGATAAATATCAAGTGATGAAAGAATCGTTCTGTATTAGTACTGATTCATCCTTCATACAGTGAGGAAGGAGGGTATTTTGATATTTTCTGTATCAAATAGGCATATAAATCACATTCGCCTTTCAAATGGAGTCTTCGCGAAATCAGCCTGTAAAATTTCCTTAAAAGCTATATATTTAATGAGTTGATAAGTTGCGACTCAACCAAGGAGAATTGAGATAGTTTGGAGAGAGAAGTGACGTACGGCTCGAAACTTCAGCGTTAGAAACTCCTAGCGGTGGCCAATTTGCATTATCAACTCAGTTAATAAAACCAAGTTGTATCTTGCAATACCTTCCACCGACCCAGCACCACAGTTTCTTAAGAAACTTATCCCCTTCAACGAGAATTTAAGTTATACAGATGTATGGTTGTACTGCTTTAACTCAAAGATTAAAAATTATTCCTTCCTACTTTTCTTTGCCGGGCTCAGTACAACTAATTCCTTGGTGAGTTGCCTTTTAAGATTTATCAACGAGGAAAAGAGTGCTTTGAAGCGGTAAAATATTGTGAAGGATTGCTGATATTTCATACTTCAATAACGAACATTCAGCAGTAAATACAAGGCAGCGCTGAAAGGAAGCCGTAAGACTCATGTGCAACACAACTCATGACTATAGGCATCGAAGCTCTTTATTTCGCTCCGTGAAAAGCATGGGACATTCGCATACAAAATTGGTCAATATTATGCGGAAAATAACCACTACAGACTTGGGTAAGATCCGCTGGTATGCATTGAAAGTGTAAGTTTCAGTCATTTTCAAATGTGTAGAGAACCCTAGTTATATGCATGTCAAGAGCACGTATGATGAACTCACCATGACAGTAATCAGGAGAACCACCCTCATCAAAAAAATTGATTTACAGAACATTTTCTGATTCTTCTAATGAAATCAGCTCCAAATCCTGCTCATGTCATTTATGCTATACCTTCTCCGCGAAAAATCCTTTCACAACTCCTTCAAATACGAAATAGCTTGAGGCCGCTTTCTATTGGCTGCAAAACGAATTTGGGTGACCTTCTCCAAAACCGGCTCTGATTTACCTTGTGACATTTTAAATCCGTTATATGTGGGATTTATCGTTTTTTTTTCGTGCCTTGTAGCCCCTGCTTGGTACCTTGGGACAAACTCGTTTCTAAGGTACAAGTGTTATCACAAAACCACGGAGTAGCAATGTTGTTGGATGTAAAATGAGGTACCTCGCAGTATTGTTGGAATTCCGTGAGACAAGCTAATAAGTCATACGATTCGTCATGTTTATTAGAGATAAACGAATTTTGCCTGTATTTCTTACGGGAACAGGAAATAAATTGAAGTCAATGTTTGAGTTGGAACGCTGAAACTGAAGTAGTATCTGCATATTTTCAGTTGGGTTTGACAGGTTAACTGATTAACATTTTTGCCACTAAAATCGTTAATTACTTTATCCTGTTAAAAGTCATCTTGTCTCTTAAGAATAAGTAACTCCTTTATCCTGTATTCCTTCCGAGTCGTGCCACAAAACACAGTTAAGCCCGCTTGGAAGGTGTTACTAGATACCGTACAAGTAGCTGTCTAGACACCTTTTTTTTTTCTTTTTGCATTTTGTGTAGTGTGTGGTACCTGACCCTTCAAAATAATCATTTATTAAAAACCTAAGTAAGGCTGCCTTATCTTTTTAGCTCTCACTGGTTATTATGAGCAGCCTGTACCCTCTCCATTTCTCATATAATAAATACAAATATATTTTTTCTGTATCATGTAAATTAATGTAGGGTACAAATAAAGTTGTCATTGTTGTTAGTTGAAGAGCTAAAACAAACCAGACACATGACACAGTGTTCCTCTTTTGTTACAGTGTCCATACTCTACAAATTTGTTTTTTCCAGTTTAACTCATCTGAGGGAAAACAATGAGGTCCAATTAGACTACCTTTGTTCCATAAAAGTAAATCAAACTGACTAACCCCTAACAGTTACCCAGTGGTACTTTCTTTCACCCTTAAAGTCCCATAGCTTATGAACTTGTTACTTAATTCTTCCCACAATTTGGATGCAGTACTTAGCAGTTGGACTATGATTCAAAGGAAATAAATTGGCCAGCAACAGGAAATTCTTTCAAGTGATATTAACAAAATCAGATTTTTTTAACTAATGTTAACCCTTTGTTACAATTAATGCTGAAATGTGGGATCTGCATGAAGAAATTACCACTAATGAACTGGTATTGTGAAATTCATTAACTAAGTCATTAGGAATAATTATCCAGTGGTATTTGTGCACACAGATTAAAATATATCCATTCCAAGTGTAGTAAACTGGATGGCAGAGTAACATGAGGAAACACCCTTTACCCTCAAGTATCATTAAGCATATTCTCCATACTGTTCTCTATACTTTTTCTAAGGTGCTGACAAGGAGAATGTGCTGACAAATCAAGAGCTTCTTCAACTTGTGATCATTTCCTATATTCTTGTGACCCTAATGTTTGATTCAGGGGTGATATTGTAAGGAGAAATAAGATGCTGGTCACTCTTGGAGGTCAAAGAATTAGGGGATATGCACTTAAAAGGGACCATTGTAAATAAGAAATCAGGAGTTACTGAGGAGTTCGTTGATTTGAAAAAATCTTAAATTTTAAGTAGCAGAAGTAGATAATTTTTCCTTTTTTTTCTTGCTACTGGTATAACATTTCTCAAACCAATATATATTTTTTCCCTATTCTAAGATGTTGGCATTTCTGAAGATAAAGCTTTCATAAATTTACAAGCAATATATTATAAGACCTGGAACAGTATTATAGGTAATTTCATTGTGACAAATTAAACTAACAAATAAATCCAAAGGTATATTCTCAAGAAAGATACACCAGTCTTAAGCTGATAATGCACTGGTTGTGTTAAACTAAACAAATACAATAATGGAAGCAGTAAAATAATAATGAAGATTGTAATAATAATACTATCAATTATACTTAATAATAACATTAATAATAAAAATGATAATAGAGGCATGAATATTTTAAAATCTCTTAAAGAGGTGATACTATCAGCACATTTCATCTCTGTAGACTCATTAATATCAAGGTCCTTTCCTTAGTGTATTGTCAGTATTCAAATTTATTTTTTGGCATGTGACAAGAAGTTGGTCTGGTTCAATGAGTATCTTAGTTAGAAGACGGCAGAGGTTTTCTGGACATAAACAGTCTAAAGAAGCAATGAAAGGTCAGATTATTTTTCATGCTCAATTAAAAACTGCTCTTACTATAAGGTCTCATTGCAAACTCCAGATGCACTTAGTCTGCATAATTGAACACTCAATCAGAAAGTGCTCTAGAAATCAAAGATTGTGGATCATGATTAATGAGAAAAAAAAATTATGCAAGGCAAGTTTTAAGCTGGATGTAAATGGCCTTTTTAGTCAATCAGTTAAGTGCAACAAAGACATTTCAAGACTCAAAGCAACTTTTAGTGGGGGGTCTACACTTTGCATTAAGGGGAGCCATACTTTCCAAGATGTTAAAGGTATCTTGGGACCTCAATTTTTTTTTAATCAGTTCTTGTCATTTCAACTAGCAACCATCTGCAAACCTTGCAAAAAGTCTCTTTTAACACGAAGGGAGCAGCATTGCAAATATTTTGCTTCCCAGGGAATAATAATGTCTGAATTCCACACACCCTGTTCAATGTCATACCTGTCAACAATTTTTCTTTGTTCTAAGTCCACGTTGGATCCACCAACACCTCCAAAAACATAAATTTTCTTTCCTACCATGGTAGCCCCAGCAAAGTACCTTGGGACATGCATTGAAGCAATAGATTGCCACTGGTCAGATGTTGTGGAGTAAACTTCACAAGTTGAAAGGGCAACACGCACATTATACTCCCCACCCATGACAAAAATTGATGATTTGTATGACACAGCACATGTTCCACCCCTTGGGTGGGTCATGGGAGCAATACTTGTCCATGTGTCTTGCTCTGGGTCATACTTCTCTGCTGAGTTTAGATATTCACCATTCCCTGCTCTCATTCCACCAATAGCATACAGGAACTGCCCATTGCCTATAGCACAAGTGACTTCTCGTGGGACATTTAAGTCTGTTCCCAGAGTCCAGACGTTCATGGAAGGGATGTAAATTTGTAGTGTTCCTCTGTGGCCCCTCGAAGCACCAATAACATAGAGACACTTTCCTAGGAATGCAACTGCTGGAAATAAAACCTCTTTCAACATCGAGGACATAGTTTCCCATCTGTTTGTCTCCAGATCAAACTTTTCAAGAGCTTTTGACACCATGCCATTTCTTTCTCCTCCAACTGTATACAGCTCTGTTTCATATGCAGCAAATCCATGCCAGTTAATCTGGTTTGGAAAATGTTCCATTTCAAACCAGTTGTCTTCTTCTGGTACATAACAACGGACTGAAGTTGACTGAGTCTCGCTGCTCCTTATCAAACCACTAATAGCAACAACAACATCAATTTCTGGCTGCAGACATTTTCTTGGATTTTGAGGTGACAAACAACCAGATGAATGATCCCTTTTCATGGCACTCTCAACTAGTTTTATGCAAGAAGAATCTCTTTGAACGAGTGAATTTGTGATTACCTGTAACTGAAGGTACTCATGTGACATTGAGCTAATTCGAATGCATGCCAGTAATTTAGGAAAATAAACTTCTCGTTCACCTTGATTGTAACTGATCCAAGTCATGAGGCTCTCGTACACTGCTTCTTCGTTTTCAACACAAATATCATCACTAGAAATCATATATGTGATCTCTTCGATACCAAGTCGAAGGAAATCCTGGGATTGCGTGACTTCATGAAAATGTTTGTCAATGAATACACGGCACGCTTTAGAGAGTTTTGCGCAGTTATAACGTTCAGCTAAGTCACAGTAATATAAACAATTGGACACATTGATATTAGCAACTAACCATGCTGATGTTGCCAACTTCACCTCTGGGATAAAGAAATAATCAGCTGAAATGAAAAGTTCTTCAGCATTGGATTGTGTGACTTCAATGGTACCAGTGTAAAAGTAAGTTAGTAACGGACCCAATGCGTTCGCTGTGACTTCCATCTGCGATAAATCTACGCAATCAGTCCACTTCTCCTTCATGTCACTTGTGAACAGTTTACAAAAGTAAGGACAGCCAGCAGCAAGGACGTTTCGGTGAGCAGGAAAGGTTCTCTCAGCCGTGACGAGAGTGATATCGCAAAGCACTTTCTGTTGTCTAAACTCGTCCAGTTTCGCCACCAAATCCACGCAGTACTGCACTTTCCCTGTTGCTTTATTCATCATTAATTTATTAGAAATGAAGAAGATTCGTAAAAGTTCAAACACATAAAAAACATCAAAGAAAAATGTGGTCAGGATTCGAGGCTTCGGTTACCCAGCACCGATCGCCATCTTGAAAGAAAAATATCGAGCAACCCTGGTGACGAGTGAGACGTTTCTCAACGATCTCCCAGAACTCTTTGCAGTGAACTTCTCCGCCATCTTGCGCGTCTTCACTGCCGTCTGTTTGAAGTTTTCCTCACCGAAACGACCCAAAATGGCGTACAAAGGACAGAAAGTGCAGAAAGTCATGGTACAACCTATTGTATCCTCTTAATTGTAACGAAAAAACTCACATATTGATTATGTGAAGTGATGAACTGGCGAAAGATCGTAGCACGTGCTCCCATTTGACATTAAGTAGCTTTATTTGTCTCGAACGGTCATGCCAAGATCTAAGAAGTTTCGATCCTTTGCGATTTATAGTTGTATGCGTGAAGCAGGGTGATTATTTTATGACGTAACTGTAACTATTACAGCTTCGAAGGCACATGATACGCAATGTGAGGTGTCTTCGATTGGATAATGGGGGTAAGATTCAAAAGAAACTGCTCTACAGCGTCGGTAGGGGAGTATACCAAGACAATTTGGTTTCATTACCTGAGTCTATAATTTAAATTGGCCACCTTAAAGAGTTTAAAAGCTAATGTTTAGGGCGTTAGCCCCTCGTCAGGTAGAACTCAGTGACCCTATATTCTGTAGTTGCTGATCATCGAGCCCTGTTCTTGAATTAGACAGGTCACTCTTGCAGTGCCTCTATTTTCCTACAGTATCACTCACATGTAATACAAGGCGGTAAAATTTCCGCACAGCCCCATACCATTGTAAAACAAATCTGTTTTCCCAGTGGCAATGTGTTGTTTTTGTCATTGTTTTCTCTATCCAAGAACTGAATGCATAATGTAGTATGGGGCTGTGGGAAAATTTTACCTACAGGGCTCCTACTACAGCATCTACATGAAGTTCACTTATGATTTGCCTAGTTGGTTGAATAACTTGTCCTCTAGGGTACCTGCAAATCATCAGAGAAACTGGGTGAAGTGCTGGGGGTTAACCATTAATGGATTAGAATCCCATCCAGGGTGGAATAGTAATCCTGGGTAGATCATGCCTTGGAAACAGGGATAAGTCCTTTGCTTATTTTAAAGACCCTTGACCTTACCCTTTGAAATCAGGAAAACAGGGAACAAAATAAAATGTGTGTAGTTTTTTCTGTGAATTATTCAGTCCTGGCATCACATTCCCAAAATGGTGGTTAATGTGAATGACCAGTATTGTCTGGATAATTTACTAATTTGTGCTAATAGGAGATGATATTGTTACCTCTTTGCTGTGTTTTCCCTGTACACTCTGTAAGAATGTTGATTGATGTGTACATTGCTAATATTCTGGCAAAATACATTTAATAGGCTTTCTCATATTTGAATATGAATTTCTTGGTATTTTCCTTAACTTTTTACCCAACAGAACTTGATATTTAGGTATTTGCAAAATGTAAGTATTATTTTTTTGTGTGTGTGTTTTTGTGTGTCATTTATGAATTGTACTGTACTTTTAAAGTAATTTTTTAAATAGTAGTTCTTAAAATGCTGAAAAATTCATGGTTTGGGGTATTGATAATTAATTGAGTCATGATATTTTTATTTTTATGTTTTTATTTTATTTGATGTCTTATTTATGTTTCCTGTTATTCATCAGAGATCAAGAATTCAGATTTGGCTGTATGAGCAAGTGAACATGAGGATTGAGGGCCATATTATTGTAAGTTTCTAGTTAACAAATTTCTATAATTTGATATTCTATGGATAAGATATATTTTTTGCATGATGCTCTTATTATTTCACAAATCAGTGTATGAGAAATGGTTTTATTTTCCCAGTTGCTGTATCTTATGTTTTGTAATGGACCAAACCAATTTTCTTATTTTCTTATCTGCAACATTGTAGAAGCAAGAATCTCTTGGAAATCTGGTTTCTTTTTTTGCCAATTTCTTTGTTTGGTTACTTTTGTTTTACTCATTATACTGAGAATAGTTTCTTTGTGCAAGAAACTCGTAACCATCTTCATGAACTGCAATTAAAAGAAACCAATCAGTATTTTATCTTTGTAAGTCCAGAGGAATCACAAAAAGAAAAGGAGTAATATTTTTTTGATATATTTTTTACAGGGTTTTGATGAGTATATGAATCTTGTTTTGGATGATGCAGAAGAAGTACATCTCAAAACCAAGAAAAGGAGACCTCTTGGTATGGACTTTATTTCTAAAATATGTATAGAATTGAGTTACTGTAAAATGCCACAAATGTAAAAGGTATGGAATGTTGTTGTGTTTCAAAAAATAATTCAATCAGATGTTGGGAAACTTCAAATCTCAAATAATAAGGGTTATTAGTTTGTGGTTTTGAGGTTGTTAGAATCAAATCAAAGTCTTGGTGGTATTTCCATTTATATCCAACTCTTGCATGGAAGTGAAGTTTTGCTTATTTATGCACCACCACGGAACATATTGCCCTTTACATTCCACCCCACCTCCTTTAAGGTGATTCCTCAGTATTGCTCTGTGCATCCTACACTGGGCATAAAAATTATGTAATCAGCCATATAAGCTTGCACATAGTTTGAGATCACTTTATTGTTTTTCAACTGATTGACCAGTTAAAGTGGCTAGATAGTCCTTAGCTCTAAAATGAGCACACTGGCCTATGTTTTGTTTGGTGTAATTTTAGTGTACAGATTTCCCCCTTTATATTGAAGAAATAAAAAAAGATTAATGGAAAGGAGAAAAAGATTTACACTAAAAGGTGTGCATGAAGCCCATTACTTAAGGATGCAAATTATGACCTTGAAAGCAATGACTCAAGGAACGTTTTGAGTCATTGTCTAAAATCGTGTGAATTTTCTAGAAATTATGTATCAAATTGTTCCACATTTTCTGGATACTACCTTGAAGTTTTTGGTAAGTATCACTTATGGAAAAACCTTTGCTTCTAGCTACTGCAAAATGTGCCATGAACCCTTGAAATGATGCGCATGATTTGTGTCTGTACAGGCATAAATAAGGTGAATTTGGCCCAACATATCTCTTTAACAAGCACAATGACCTATCTTTTTTATTGTATTTTTCAAAATAGACATTGGTAGGGAACATTTAAGGAGATGAAAAATAAAACACCCTTTTTTCTGAGGAATCACCTTAAATTTCAATGACCCCCCAAAAAATCTGAATGACTATTTTCCATCTGGTGAAATAGGGAAATAAGTTAAATTTGCTGTCTTTTTTTGTCTTGTGTTCTTCTTCTTAGGAAGGATATTGTTGAAAGGAGACAATATTACCCTCCTCATGAATACAGAAGCCAGCTGATTAATGCATCATCCATGCATGTATTGAGCTGAAGATCAAGAGAAATGCTTTTTGGAACAGATTTGATATTTCTTTTAGCCGTGAAACCTAGTAACACTACTGAAAGGGCTTGTAACCTTTGTTAAGAACTTTAAATGTAACTTTTGTACGTACAAGGCGTGACATTTGTATTTGTTTGATTATGAGTAACTGTAGCTATGTAGTTCCGCACAATCGACCATTCACACCCAAAATATAGAAGTCTTTCGACATTTGTTTTCATGCCAGTGCAATGTAAGGATGTGTCTTTTTTCCATGCCATATATCTCAACCTGCTTCAGTCTCATTTGTAAAGTTCATCGTTTTACTTACGCTCAGAAAAAACAATTTGTATATGAAGTTTTTTTCATTTCAACGCACCGGATGCCAAACAACAGTAATTGTTCGATAGCTGAAAGCTCTTAACTGTGACATCTGACGTCTACATATAAAGGGAAGTGAGATATTTGTAGCTTGCCTTCGTTTCTGTTTCCCATTGCTTTAGTATTGGGCAAGATACTTCCAAGAAACTTTTTTTACACATGACTCGTAGCTTTGCGAAACACAAGTCGGAAAATTTAACAACTAGCCTGGTTGCATAACCAAAACCTTTTCTCAAGATATTGAAATAACATTATCAACCCTTTTGATAATGGAGCCCTCATCTTAATGCCTCGGAAAGAACAATTAGGGCTTTTAAAAAAAGTGTGTTTGGGAAGCTTCCCGCGTGTTTATCCAATAGTTTTAGTGAGGTATTTTTTTTATCGCTGCCACTGTGCTCTATCTACAGTAAAAGATAACATACAGATATTTAAACTCGCACGTCTATTAAAACAATTTACAGTACTTCACGCGTTTTTATTAAGCAAACATCAAAATTAAACCGCACTCAATCACATTGAGGTGCAATACTAGTTATAAGTCGCCAACAAGCTTTTAAATCGTAGTCACTGATGTGCTAATTAGAAATGTCACCCAGGTCCACAGTATAACGTGGCTTTATTCTATTCCACGCATTGCCAAAGACAACTCACAAACAGAAACTTAGATTAAGGGAACATTCTTGGCTTGTGATTCGCGGAGACCTTTGAAGCATCTTCCCCTTTCGTTTTCCGTTTAAAACTTTTGTAACGACGTAAGATTACTTAGTCCGCGCTAATTTCACTTCACTCACGTTAAGAGATGTTAGATCGCCATGCCACCAGATCTGATGGAGGAATCCCTGTTTTTCGCTTGTTGTTATCGGTATCTCTTGAAAAGTAATATCCGCACGTGCTTTTGCCACTGGTGCTGAAAGGCGCTAACCTGTTTACATGTCTCATCCAGGGCACGGCTAGACTTTGAACTGGAATACCAGGTATTTTTTGCGTGTGTCGTCCGTTCCTGGACTTTGTCGAGTACTCGGTGGTTGAACTGGCGAACGATTTCGAAGCTGCCTCTTTCAGGGCGTCAGAAACATGCCGCGAGTAAGGAGCTTGTGTGAGAATACCAGGCTGCTGATCCCATGAAGAGATTCGACAACAAACGTTGGTTGGCAACCAGACGGCCTTGAAGTCCTTTCGGCATTTTTCGCACTTCCAGCTCTGTCCAAATAACTGTCCAGTATTAGGCATTATACCCTGCACGTAAGGCTTTCAATGCGATCGGATCCAATAAAATGTTTCGCTGGCAAATCTAACCCTTCCTTTTTCTCCGTCGCTGCGCAATCGATTCTCACAATCGCAAACTCCAGTCGGGCTCGCGATGTCGAACGCGAAACGTAATCGATGTACTGACGTCATAATTGTCTTCCTATGTGATAGTTCTGATTGGAATAATTAGGCGATTGCCGCGTGACAAGATTTGAAAGTGATATCAGTTCATTTTTGAGCAAGAAATGTCAAGGAGACTGCGAAGCACGCTTATAATACCAGCCGCAGTCAGAACATTCCTATTGATTTCGGCGTAAATAAAATGAAGGGTTTGAACAGCGCTCTTGATATAATTTTGCCAGTCAAGATTTATTTTCCGTCTAGATTTAAAGAATAAAGGGTTGATGATTTGCTTTGTTTCTTTTGAAAACATTAAGGCTCATTAATCCATCCCCCGCCATGGAAATGCAGTTGAACGTCGCGCGCTATTATTCACACGAAAACAAACACATTTACTCTGAGCCAACTGTCAGAAACATTATTTTGATCTATGGACACAACTTTCCTCTTCACTTTCTTTTGCATCGTCTAAAAACTGCTACAATAATATTTTGATTTTTGAAAGGAGGGATGTGCAAAACGATTGCTTTGCTCTCATTTTCGCTTCTTTTTTTTTGGCATTTGAGGGATTAAACATATCACTTTACATTTCTGTCTTTGATAAAAGTAAACGTTCTAGATTAGAACGCTGAAACATGATTTTAGATGAGCATTGCAGCAGAAAAGGCTTACTTTTAGGTAGTGTTTTCCTCAACATATTGGATGAAATTTGCGAATATGGCCGTCTCAGATAGGCAAATGGTACTATCCTCAAAAGTCGGCAAAAAGCATAATGAACAATGTGTACCCTTTTTATACAAACAAATTATTTGCAGCTAAAGCAACGGAAGGGAAATGAGAGGGTCGAAGAAATGGAAGGAAGAACCGGACACGGAGTTCATCAGGTCAGCGGTATCATGTTTGATGGTAACCATGACAGCACTATAACTTTCGCGGCCATTTTGCTTTTTTTGACCTAGCGGGCAAATCTAGAGCGCGCACTTTCCAATTTTTTCCCTTAAACATGCCAGACGGTGAAAAGCCCGTGATACCTCCTGCTCCTGCAATACACATAGAGCGAACGTTAGCGTTATTTAAGCCAGACGCAGTTCACAAGAGCGATGAAATCGAAGAAATTATACTTCAACATGGTTTCACCATTTTGCAGGTACTAATGAATCAACCGTGTTTTCTATTTTCTTGTTAATTGTGATAGGCCAACAATTATGAGTAACTGTGACTTTGTGAGCTTGATACTCTTCAAACCCGAAGGAATGTGTGAGGATGCTTCCCTACATTAGTTAAATTATGATTACCTCTGAGCAGAACTGTATCTAGTCAAATACCCTATCTAATTTTTTTTGGATACCAAACAGAAAAGAAGAGTGCATATGACACCAGAACAGACAAGTGATTTCTACGCCGAACACTATGGTAAAATGTTCTTCCCAAGCCTTGTGGCTTACATGAGCAGTGGGCCAATTTTTGCTCTTGTCTTAGCAAGGAAATCAGCAATTACCTACTGGAGACAGCTGATTGGACCAACAAACACGCAAAAAGCAAGAGATCAGGCACCAGAAAGGTGACAGACTTTTCAATCTCCCTTGTTCTTCCAGGGTTTCAATCCTAGTGCATGGAAGCTATTTTTTGGCACTGATTGGTTTTAAATGGTCAGAGAACATCCCTTAGAATCCAAGGACCTAAACATTACATGTAAATATGCAGCTTTCAAGCAATAATAGCAAATGACCCACCCATTAATTTTGTGCGACTCTACCGGCTACTTATTGTCACATGGTACAAAATCACCAAGTAGTTATCACACAATTACCCCTATATACATCAATATTTGTCTTCTGATTATGTTGAAAATAAAAAAAGCTAGTGGAAAGAAGCAAGCTCAAGGGTTTTACTTTTTCATTTTTTTTAACTTTACATGTAGGAAAAATAAACTCATTTTGTAGAGCTTAGTGGTAGTGAAATAAATAAGCTGATCTCAAATATAGTTCTGAAAAGAAAATAATGCAACAAAAGTTGCTGTCAATATGTGATATTAAAATAAATGGTAAGGTTATTAAAAAAAGAAAAAACCCTTCTGGCTTGCTGGTAATTTTCAGCTGATTATGTCCTTGGCTGACAGATTGTCCTCAAATTTCAAATTTTCCCTGGAAGCTGGCCAAATATCCATTTTTAGGACAATCTCTCAGCTGTTGACATTATCAGCCAACATACCAGCCAATTGAAGGGCTTTTTTACTAAATGGTTTTCTCATTTCGGTAAGCACTTAAATGTTGTTATTCTTATGTTTTTGAGAGAATGTTTGGACTCAAGCCCCAAGAACAATAGGGAGGCTGTTTAATTTTTGGTATGGTCAACCATATGCAAATTTCTCTGGCCTCTCCATTGTTTTGAACGAACTCATCAATTGAAACTTCCCATTTATTTATTTAGTCCCAATGTGTGAACAAAGAAACCAACAGTTGTAGACAATCAGCCCCAGAGGTACTTACATATGATAGGCTTATGGGGATGTGCTGCTGGATGGGTTGATTTTTCACAACTAGATTGACAATAGTGGGGTTACTAGAGTAAGGCTGCAAATTTTCGGGATAGTTTGAGTAATAAATTTCTGGTAAGGAAGGATTGAAAAATGGCAAGATTTGCATTTTAAAGGTTGTTACCTTTGGGATTGTGAAAATTACTTGTAGAATATTTAACATAGTAGTGACATTTGTGTTCAAGCCTTTTGGTACTGGACATGAATTTAAAAGGAAACTCTTTTTGAATTTATTCATACAGACTTTCAAGACAAATTTTCATATAATAAGGACATTATTTTTATCTCTAGTTTGAGAGCAGTCTATGGTACAGACAGCACCAAAAATGCTCTTCATGGAAGTGACAGCTACTCAAGTGCAGAAAGAGAAATACATTTTTTCTTTCCTGATAGTAAGTGAATAGAAATTTAGTCTTAAAAAACCTAACACTATAAACTCCTTTAAAATCACTCTTTTTTTCTCCTTCTTAAATCACCCTTGGTTACTGTGTTGAATCAATTTCCTGGTTGTTAAACATCATAGGTGTTGTGGAACCAGTTTCAACTGGGCAAGCAGCCAAAGACTACCTCACAAGAACAGTAACTCCAACTTTACTCAAAGGACTCACAGAATTATGCAAGATGAAGCCTGCTGAACCAATAGTAAGCTTTTACATTTGTATTTGGTCCAACAAAGTCTTGCAGAAAGGCTGAAGCTACTGTCAAAGAGAGGAAAGGTATTAGGGAGAGATACTCCCAACATGCAAGTTCTTGGTGTGGTTTGGATGTAAATGTCCACTTTTTTTGCCTTTCACTCTCAAATCAGGGATTCATAGCCTTCCATTTTACATTCTGTCAGTTGCTGGTATTATACAGCTGTTTGGCTTTGTGACTTGGAAAACAGTTTAAATAACTTGACGCTTGCCTTGTTTATTGATAGATTTGGTTGGCAGATTGGTTAGTGGTGAACAATCCAAACAAACCAAGAGTTCAAGAAGAAGGTTATACTGTTGAAGAACCAGATGACTAAAGCTGATTCTCAGATGTTTGACTCAGCTTCTTATAAATTGACAAGCAGAAAAAGGAAAAAGAAAGCAATCACTGTAAACTTTACTTCATGATACAGCTCTATTGTTTAATTTTTCCGGTTATAAGTACATACAAAATAGAATCTGCTTTCTTGATGGTATTTACATTTGAATTTTAAACATATATCTTGAAGTATGTTACATTTACAGCTGTTCTTAAATATTTATCATTGTTCTGTTGAGGAACAATGTTATTATACTGACAACGATTGTTTGTTGTTAATTTGGTTTGTATTACTTATTGTCTTGAAGTTTTTCTTTACAGTCAAACAATTTGTTGTAAATATCACATATCGTTAGATGGATAATAACAATACTTTTACTACTTTAGAAACTAAAAATTTTGCTATGAATGTGATGAATCTGAGTTGTTCTTGATTAGCTGATATTTTTGTTAACCATGTGGTTTCAGCGAGTGTGAAGTTTAGGTTGGGAACAACACTTTTGACAGAAAAAAAATTTGAAATTTTCAGTTGTGCAAGTTGTGCGCCTCGTCAATTGAGCGGACATTACCTAATTAAGATACGCAGCTTGTATGTAGCAGTAGGTATGCAGCAAGGCACAGGTGTAGTTGAAATCCAATTTTTGAGGAGCTACAGTAAATTGTGAACTGTATCACCATTTTTAAGGATCACTGACCATTGGGTGATGAAAAAAAACAAGATTTAAGAGAAGACAGAGTAAAAATACCTCTGAAGGCGACGCCAAGAACTGGCTTGTGGAACAAGACTTGCCTCTGTCTTGATTAGTGATTAACAATGAATAAAGGAAACATACCTACAAGTACGTACACATGGCAAATTGTCTGAATTGATCATTTATAGAGACAAAGGTAGAAATTAGTTTAGTGGGGCACTCCTCAAGGAGAACCACTTATCGAGTTTCCACTCAGTTCCTGAATACGGGTGAGCTTTTTTTACGTTATAGTCAAATACAGTGGAACCCCGATTTAACGAACCTCTATATAACGAAGTCCTCGGTATGACGAACGATACTCTAGCCCTGCCAAAGTAACAGTAACATGTATGGGAAAGAACCTCGATATAACGAAATCCTCGTCGTAACGAGCACAGTCCAGAAGCCCCAACGTGTAATAAACCCCGACGTAACGAACAAATGACCACATGTAACAAAAGACAAATACGAGCAGACCAACAAACATCAACATCCATCAGTTACGTGATAATAGAACAACTTCACAGTTAATCTCATTATAAATGCCCACCCGGACATTATCGACAACACATCTACAGATCCGCTTTATCCTCTTTGTCTCTTATTAGATCTATTAAGTTGAATTTAACCTCTTTATTTTTGAAAGCTTCGTGTGGTAAAAAGTATGAGAGGCAGACATTTCCAGTCCAGTGCCCTTGTTTCTCGGTTCACCAGTGAATTTCACTGAAATTTGTCCTCCGTGCTTCAAAACAAGGTGCTGTAGCTATGTACAGACCTATACACTGCACTGTAGCTTCATATAGACATTAAAGCACAAATATTATCTACAATATAATTGTTCCGATTCTAAATGCTGGGTAGCGCGACGTCACACCACACACACAAAAAGAATAATAATACAAAATTAAAATTTAATTATTAATGAGCCCTCGATAAAACGAACAATTTAATTGTTTCCCTGCAGATTCGTTAAATCGAGGATTTCGATATAACGAACACTCAATATAACGAACCAATTTCCCCAGTGTTTTGGTATTTCGTTAAATCGAGGTTCCACTCTAGTGACAAGTGTTAGAGATCATATCACCATTATGACTGTCTGATGTTTTCAGTTTTGTTCCTTCTGCAGTTACACGTGGCTCAGAATCAAACTTCACTGTTTTACTGTTCGTCTTTTTAACGCCGCTATCGTTAAATGCACCCTGCCTTGAAGGTGTAAATGAGACATTATTTTTTACTCCGCCTGTAATTAGCTAAATTTTAGGTACGGAAACAAATCCGTATTTAATTGGCTTTCTGTTCTCCTTGACTCATCCTCCTAAATTGCTCACGCATTTCACTCGAATAGATTATTCAAATTTTGACGTAAATATTCGCTTAATCCCTTAATTTGTTGGTTACGAAGTCCTTGGCATAAAAACTTCGATAGAAAGTCTCCGTTGATAAACTGTAATGCGCGCTCCGTCTTCCATCACCTTAGTAACTTCTTGGTCATGCGATGGATTGTTCCGCTTTCGATTAATGGCGATGCTTTTAGTCTTTGCGTTATAATTCTGCGCATTCGACAGTTCTTCATGATGAAACGAATCATGATGTTTATCACGAGTCTTCAGAAAAGAGGAGCAATCCCCTTTCTTTGAGATTTGTGGTAAACGCGTTAATCCTCTCTCCTTAGATTTCAACGATGTTCGTGAAGTGTTTGTTTCATAGTTTCGATTTTCTGAGATAGATTTACACGACAGAAAATTGATAGGCTCCTCGTCTCCGCTGTAGAAGTCAATAAAACAATTATCGGCTCCTTTGTTTAAGTTCTCCTCTTGTAAGAACATCTGTCCGGTAAGAGACTCGACAGAAGCCACAGGTATCCTTGGAAGACACAAGCCCGAGGAAGTGTCTGGAGGTCGATCTCTGTTGTTTGGTTTTGCTCTTTGTTTTGTATCTGATCTGGACTCTTTCTGTCTTCCTAGAGAACATCTGTAAGGCGTATGACTCAACAAAAAGTTGTTAAAAGCCGTCTGTTTTATCTTCTTATCGAAGCAGACGTGTAAACTGCCATGGCTTCTTCTATTGTCCGTTCGGAAAGGCTGATTAACCGCGAGTTCCACCAAAACTTGTGCTGCTGGGAATCCGTGTGGAGCTTCACGAGTCATGTTCGATCAACAAGTCCATGCAAACCAGACGGATCATCGTTATATGACCATCTACAAATCAGCTGTTCAACAGAACTACTTCGCCTGTTGTGGCCATCTCAAACAATGCTAAACTTTGCTGCGATCACGCACATGACCTTTAGTTGACATAATAAATGTTGGCTACTGATCTGTCATGTCAAAGGAAGCTTCGATGTCACACACGATCAGTAACAGCAAACAAATCTATTGTGCGTCACTTCACGAAACTTCTGAGATGACCTTTCAAATAAAAAGTATTTAAGGTCAAGCTTATAACTTGATAAGCGACTCGATAGGACAGTCCAGATAGGCTTTTCAAAAACCTCAACCGGCAGAAACGATGTATGGTTCAGTTTAACAGTTTTTAATCGGCTTTGGCCCTCGGGCATATCTTAAAACAATGAGAAAATTGTCAACAAATCCCGTAATTATCATAACCCTGATGTTTGCCTCAATATCGACATGTCGAACAATAAAACTCATTGAAGTCTTTAAAAGTAACCTAACAAAAGAGAGTTAATTATCCCGCATTTGATGGAAGTCAGCGTTTCAACTTCCCTTTTTTTTGTACAATTAGTCCCTGGTTCTTTTCTCGTGGCGTAACATTTTCCAACTAACGACCTCGCTGTCAATTTTTGCGGACGGTCGATTATGAGATTTATAAGCCATCTATGTAATAAACATAGTTTGCATTTTAAGGTTTCAATGTTATGCACGACGAGGTTTTAAGGTTTCAACAAAGAAGCAATTAAGCAAAGAGATTAACCCTGCCTCTGCTACTAATGAAACCTTCATGGGCTATTTATGTAATGTTTGCTACCAGTAAAAAGTTTAAGCCATAAAATTGGATGCGGTTTTCGTAGTTATGGTTACAAAGATTGTTGCAAAGGGCTGGAATTATTGTCCTTGACAAAGATTGACAGGCACGTAAAGCGTACAAAGGACTATCTTGGTTTAAAAAGCAGCTGATATAAAAATATATCTGGTTAATGCTCTGAAATTTTGATTTTTTTTTCACATAATTCCCTCGCCCAGGGTATAAGAAACTCTCTTACATGAAAGTTCAGTGAGGCTACGAGTCAAACCTAAAACCATAGTTGAGAAGAAAAACGAGGATAGCATAATTGCAGGTGGAATTTGTGAATCATGGGGTTCTTTTCTAACTAACACGGTTTGCAATTTACTCCTTGCTATTTTTAAGTTCAAAACAAGGATGTAGCTTCTAAAGTCCTTTATCTCTCTCTGTACATAATTCAGTCAGTGACCACTGTTTCACTTTTTTATCAAACTTTATTGAAGCCATAGTATTGAATAAGATGCTCTTTGATCTCTCGTTACATGTAAATAGAAGTTAGAGCCTTCGAGGACGTCCTCCAAATCCCCAAACTGGAGGATGATGAAATTCATCAAGATTGCGCACGAGGCTTTCACGCGTTAGATCATGTGCCTGATCGTGAAATATCGAACGCCTTCCAGAGCTTTCGCCCGATTTCACTGACGACATAGAGACATTATTTTTCATTCTCAAAGCGGGCGAGGCAAGGACAGACAAAGGAGTGGCTGTGTGAGGAGGCTGCGGAACGCCAGTAAAACTTCCACACAAGTTCCCATTTTCACCCAGGAATTGTTTTTTGATGATATTTTTGTTGTTAATGTATTCGACGAGTCCTGCTAGGGAGTCCTTACTGTTCAAACTGTTCAGGGCTTGAAATAAAGTAAGTTGCTTTTCGGCAAACGGCTTCACCTTGCGATGCGAAAGTGGAGGAACACTTTTCGATTTTGGAATTTTGAATTTTGATCTCTGCTTTGGCTCTTTCAGCCAGTGGTGTTCCTTAAGTTCTATCGGTTTACCGGATAGTTCAGAAAGACCACTAGCTCTTTCTTTTTGGCATTCCTCACTTTCCGATGATGGTATTGGCGTTCCAGCTCGCCATGTCAATTCCATTATTCCAAAGTGACTCTTTCCCTCCTTTTTCATTCCTGAAAATGGATGACGCAGAATGTTGAAGATCATTTTTTGCTCAAGTTTCGGAATCAATTTAGTGGGATATCCCAGTTTAACGTGCTGGGCACAGGGAAGATTAATACGAAATTCTTGCACCTTTTTCCAGTACACCGATCATTTGGCTTCAATGCCTAGCTGACCTAAGTAGGCCTGGGAGGAAGTTTGTAAAGTAAACATCCAAGGGAACCTACCCTTATAAGGCACAAACTTACCAGAAGGGTATATTTGAAAACAGTTTGGCGTTTTTCATGAAGTTTTATCTCAGTATTTTCAAATGATATCATCCGAATAGTTAATGAGATTTAGCTAGTGAATTTTATGGTCTTGCCTTCGACCGAACATGGAGTTAAAACTCGTCTCGGAATTGTAGATTTAAGAATGTAACCAAAACCAACCACCTCAGTGGCGAAAATTTAGATAAATGACACCACAAAAGGACAACTTACCAGTATGAACAGATAACCTGTGAGGTAGGGACATCACTAAAAACTCTTGTGTTTCCCTTGAGGTCCGAAGATGTGAATCACTCAACGTTTTGGACTTTATCAGGGTGGAGTTGAGTAGTCGCTGTCCACAAGTGTCTGGACCCAAACAATGATGAAGTGATGTCTGTTCAAATATCGGTTGAGCCTGCACATCTGTTTTCTAATGAATAATAATTCAATGTGTTACTCTCCTTTCTCAAAATAAGTTTATTTTCTGAAAGCAGTCTGACTCGACCATTCAAAATTAAATCTAAAACTAATTGCACCTTTCATTGGTTACTACGCTTCAGTGTTTGGTTTTGATTTCAGGATACTCAGTCGAAATATGTTCTTCACAATATTACATTACACTCCTGTGACACAGAAGGTTTGATTTTCTCATGGTTGTTATTTCTGGCCCTTAGTATTACTATGGTCTGCGGAAGATTTGTCAGCCACAAACATAAGAAAGAAATTTAATAAATTCCAAATGTGCTCGACTGGTGGGGTGGTGGTTTCAACTGAATGGCCGTGCTTTTACAATATTCCTGGGTTAAGTCCTCTTCAGCGACAAAAAAAGAAGAGCAACCAACCCAAACCTCTACAGTAGATGTAACGAACGAGTTTTTTTCTTCTCTTTGGCTCAATAACTGCAATTTGGCATGCAACTACTGACTGTAAATTTCAGTGTCCTAATGGAGCTATGGAAACTCACCTTTCTAGCGAAGCTTATCTGTTGGATCCGTGAGATTTTCTTATCCACCAGTAGATTAGATGTTTCTCTTCTAGATGTGTGAGTTGTTTCATGCACTTCTTTCTCGGGCCCCAGGATGGCGCAAAACTGCAGTAAATTCTCAAGCAGACTAGTAAATGGCTGCGCTATCTCAACTCTTGAGGAAAACAACTCATCATTTTCTAAGCACTTTTTCACTAGTTCAAATATCTTTCGCCTAGTTTCTTGTAGACTGTCATGGTATTTAGCGGGCAGTCTTCCCAGGCCATCGATGAAGACATAGTCTCCTTTCTGCTTAGAGCTCAATAGTTCGGACTGAAAGAGTCGTCGCATGCTCATCACCATTTCTTGTTTAGTTTTTGACGCCTTACGTGCTAAAGTGGTCAGACTATTCCCCAATGGAGGCAAATTACAACAGGTCTCCAGTAAGTCACCAATATTGTAATTTGGTTGGATTTCATCGTCGTCCACTGAAATCTGTTTTTCTATGGTCGGTTTTGTCCTCTTCGTCTTGAGTAAAAGCAATTTAGCACTAGGCTGATTTATTCCCGCAGTCTGACCCATGATACTAAGGATCTCTCCTAGAGTGAAGTGTTGTTCATGGCCTTCCCGATAAATAGAGGTTTGTCTTTTGTAAGAGCTTCTATCCTTAGGTTCCATTCTTGGTTCCGGTGAAGTAGTGTGCTGACTCATTGCCCGAGAAGGTGTTGTATGTACGCTCTGTGTTTTGTGACTCAGTGACTGAGATGGTATTGTGCTCTGTGCCTTGTGATTTACTTGCATATTACTTTCTGGTGTCACTGATGGGTAGATCAAAAAAACCAAATTCAACGTTTGAAAGTTGAGTAAATATGTAATTGAATAAACCAAAAAAGGCCGTTTTTCCTTTTCGTGATATTTCATGACAGAAGTGTCATTTCGACTCATAAAATTATCCCCTCAGATTTTTCTCGCGATTTCTTCAGAGCTTATGTTGGGTTTATAGAGAAGCAAGGTTTTCCTATATATTAATAGCTGACAAAAGGCATCATATAAAATAAGAAGAATCCGGAAAAATTTCACCTATGCAATTTTATTACTTTTAGGTCCATTCACCTATCTATTTATTATCATTTTTATTCAATTGGTATGTAAAACCCACCCACTGTTTACAAGGGGCAGCACTTTTTTTCGTATCTGCTCAAAGAAACAGCTATCTCGAGAAATTAGAGCGGTTTCCTCTCTCATTCATCTTGGAAAGTAAAATTGTTTGCTCTCTAGAGTATCAGAGTTTGGTATTACTTCCAACGGCAGATTAAAGTTCATTCAGTTCGCCAATATTTCACTGAAATTTCAAGTATATCACTTTAAGGAAGCTGGATCTGATAAACATTACCTGAGCTTCGAATTTTTTCTTGCGATTTCTTCGAGGCTTTTACACTTTCCTCTTCAGGGGTTGTGGACTTGCATGGTTTACCTGTATTTTAAAAGACAACGAAAGAAATGCAGTGTTCATTCTGTATACTTAAACTTCGAAAATACATTGATAATTCTAAATTCGTACAAGGACACGTAAAAAAGGCGTTCCAGTTGTTCATACCTAAATCAGTGGGCGTCCAAACAGCTGAAGATGACACTGACGACCTTGAAGCGATTGACACTGTGATAGGGGTTAGCCTGTACTCCGGAACTAAAGAAAAACGTATAAATAATACTGACTCATTTCGGCTTTAGAAATACGTAAGCTTTGATATGAAAAATTTATTTCCAGTCTTACTCATTGAAGTGATCCGATATAACGTTTCTCTGTGGCTGAATCTCCGGCTTGTAGTAGCTGGAATACGAATATGAATTGTTAAAATGCAAATGAGCGGAATCCCCTCCCTCTCCCCGCCCCGAAAAAGACACTGACTCCAAAATACGGCTTAATTATTGTATTTATCATATAAACACAATAGCCCTTCGCAGAAAAAAAAAGCCGACTTCAATGAATGAAAATAAATTAATCGACAATCCCTGAATAACAATCGTACAGAGCGTTGGCGCTAACTCTTAGGAAGATGGAAAAATGCGTTGAATCTTGATTATAAAAACAACAATGGGCGTAATTTTAAATTTACAAAATTCTCATTTATTGACTTTGTCCTTACCGACAGAAGAAGTCTT